AATAACAAATAAATAAATAAATAAAATGAGGGCTATATCCTTAATCAGTCAAAAGGTAGTGTTCTGTCACCAAAAGCACAAGAGAGAAACCGTAAATCATAGAATGTACACAAATAATCCTATGTAATCTGAGACCATTTCAAGTGATCGTCATGCCCCCACTTCCTGCCTGCCCCAACCCCTGCAGAAGAACTTGGGACCCCTGCACATTCCCCTCTTTGAGAAGGGAACTCAAAGGAGGGGGGATGGCAATCCCAACTAGGTTACATCTGAATTCACATCATCGAGAAGCTTTATCATATTTGTTAAGCTAATGCATGAACAAAGGAATGAATGTGTGCATACGCTACCTCTAAGCCCTACCTCCCTCCACTGGCATCCTTTCCAGATCAGCTCAAACATCACCTCCTCCAGGAAGCCTCCCCAGGCACCTCCCGCTCCACACACATCCGCACAGCCGGCAGGGCCGGCGCCTCCCACCTGCTTGCTCTGCACGTCCACGCTTGGTGCACCTTGCGTTATTAGTCATTTGTTAGACAACCCTGGGCCTCGGTTTCCTCCTCTGTAAAATCAGAGGGCAGCACTACGTCACTCAACTTCCTGGCTGAAATTGTGGCCCCAAGGCAGGCAGCGCCCAGGGCCGAGGACCCAGAAGTCAGGCTCCCAGAGTGTCCCCACAGCAGATGTAGCGGCCCCCTCCCATGCGGCCCATCTGTCCTACTAGGGACGCAGCTGGGCTGGCTCCCCGCAATCCTCCACCCCTGCACAGACAGATCTAGGCCGGGACTTACCCCGGAGGCCTCCACCTCCGCGCCGCCACTCGCCTATCAATGCCCAGCCCTTGGCGCACATGTCAACGGAGCCTGCCAACACCCAAACTCCCTCCCGCAGCCAACAATGCTGCAAGGGCGCGTCTACACTATCCTAGAGGTTCCAGGAATTCAGGCCTCTTGTTCAGGGGCCAGGGGAGGGGATGCGACTAGGGGCCCTGCAGGAGACAGGAAGGCAGCGCTGCCCGCACCCTGTGCGGGTTCCGAGGAGCCCCGGGCGGAGGCCCCCAAACCTCCTCTCCCAGCCAACTGTGTGCCAAGTGTTTTCCCAACAGACACTGCCGTTAATCTGCATGACTCCCCCCACCCCTTTTACAGAAGCAAACACTGAGCCCCAAAGAGTTGAAACCAGAGAACCAGCGCCCCCCCCCACACACACACTCTGCGCCGCCTCCGATCCCACTTCCAAGCCCCAACCCAACGCGCTCGAGGCGCCGGTGCACCGGGGCGCCCAAGGCCTGCAGCGCCGGATCCCAGTCCCCATCCGCCTGGCGACTCGCCGCCCGCACTCACCTCCCTCGGGCGGACAGGCACTGCAGCCGCTGCCCACGGCCGCGAAGATCCAGAGGAGTTGGCAGAGGCTTGCGGCCCGGTGCTCCAGGGTGCAGGGCGGGCGGGCCCCCCGAGAGTGCCGGGGAGCAGCGAGCGGGGCGCACGGGCCGGCGCTCCGGGGAGGCAGCGGGGGCCGCGCAGGGCGGTCTGATCGATCTCGGGGCGCGGGGGCCGCCGGCACGATCCCGGGGCGCGCTGGGCCGCTGGAACGATCCCGGGGCGCTGGGGACGCGTGCCAGGGGCGGGAGCGCAGGCGACAGTCAGGGGAGCTGGGGCAGTGGCAGCGCGGGGCGTCCGGCGTCGGATCCGGGCTGGAGGCAGGGCAGGAGCCTGCGGGCAGGGGCGGGGCTCTGGTCCGGCGGGCTCACGGCGCGGCGCTCACGTGGCCGCCCCCCGGTGGCCGTCAGCGCTCCTGCAGCCGCTGGCAGGGTCTCCGGGCTCCAGCTCCGCCTCCGCGCTGAGTCCGCGCCTCGCCGCCCGCTGAGCACACGCGCGTCCGCACCTAATGCAACGGGCGGGCCTAGCACCCACCCGCGAAGGGGGCGCCCGCTCGGCGGGTAATCCGAGAAGTCCTTTCCGAAATCGTTAGAAATCCATCTCATTAAATCTCCATGCGTAAACTTAAAATATTTTTATCGGAAATTGCTTTTTTTTTTTCTTCTGGTTTGTGCTTTGTAAAAACTTAGGCACTTATAACAATTAAAAAATATTTGTGCAATTATTTACTATCCCCTCTAGACGTTCCTTACCGTTCTAGTACATTACCGTATTCCTAACTCTCAGCGTGGGGCTTGGCACATGCTAAATGCTTAATATAAATATCTGTGCAGTGAATGGATAAATATGGAAAGGTATAAAGAAGAAAACTAATGATAACTACTGTGAACATGTTGATATTATATCCTTCCAGATACTTTTCTAGTAAAATTTTAGAAATTTCACAATTCTTATTTCAAATATAAAAATAAGTGATATTTATTGAGTGATTTATCTCATTCTATCTTCACACCAACCCTGTGAGGTAGGTTGCATTAGCTCTATTTCACGGATCATAAAACTGAGGGTCTTAGAGATAGATTTACACAAAAGATCCCCTTCTTTTTTTTTTTTTTAAGCGTTATTTACTCAAGTAATCTCTACACCCAACGTGGGGCTTGAACTCAAGGCCCCAAGATCAAGAGTCAGGCTTCTCCAACTGAGCCATCCAGGCGTCCCTGCCCAAAAGGTTTCTAAAGCGACTCCTCTTGGCAAAGGGTATCTACATTTTAAGAGCTGGAGGGCATGCTGAGTCTTTGCCCAGGTGAAGCCCAGCAAACAGATTCCCCTCAGAGACCAAAGGCCTTCCACTTACCAGCTGCTATGGCCTCTGTGGGGAGCAGGTTCAAGTTTATGCAGCTTGGAGAGGGGGATGACATACAGGTGGCATCTCATAAGGTGGTGGGGGGAATGAAAAAAAAAAAACGAAATGGCCTTGAAACCCATTATTCAATGTTTGGCCCTCTGGCCCTTTGGCCTCTGTGCTACAAGTTTTGGAAAATACAAGAGCTAGTAGATATTTTGGTTTGAAGTGTTGGCTCCTTTAATCATCTTGGGAAAACTCCTCTGGCTTTTGGCAAGACAAAATTGCACCTGAAATTCTGACTGTGGGAAAGTTGGGCAGGAACAGACTCTGAGCTAATCTGTCCAAGTCCAATGCCAAACAAAAAACAAAAAACAAACCAAAAAAAAACCTCACTGTATTACTTAACCACTTATAGCTCTGTGTCCTTGGGCAAGTTATTTAACTCTTCTGAGCCTCTGTAATTTTTGTCTGCCCAGCAGAAGTCCCCTTCTTTGCATGAGGATCTTGATTAGTCTTCAGGAAACCAGCCCACCCTATTCTCAGTTGGTGAGAATAGCCCTCCCCACTGACCTGGGGCCAAGAGTGGACACATGATAAGACCTGGCCAATCAGCATATTCCATGCCGGTAGCCCCATGAGATACTAATCTGGATCTTTTCTAGCAAGCATAAAAAAAAGAGAATCTCTTTTCCAGAGAGTTGTTGAGCTGGTAGGATTTAAGCCTAGGGTTTCTGGACATTTTTTTTTTTTTAAGATTTTATTTATTTATTTGAGAAAGAATGAGATAGAGAGAGAGAGCATGAGAGAGGGGAGGGTCAGAGGGAGAAGCAGGTTCCCCGCTGAGCGGGGAGCCCAATTCGGGACTCGATCCTGGGACTACAGGATCATGACCTGAGCTGAAGGCAGTCGCTTAACCAACTGAGCCACCCAAGCACCCTGGACATTCATTCTTATGGCAAATATTTATTAAGCTCTTATTTCATGCCAAGTATTGTGCTAGGAGTTGGGGGGAAAGGCCTGCCTTCAGAGAGCTGTCTAATGGGATAAGAAATGGAAGAACAGCAATTTCTCACATGGTCATTATGCCATGCCATTTAAACTGCAGGTGCGCCATGAGTGAGAAGCGTTGCAGGCAATGAGAGATGCCACGGGCAAACCTGCTCAGGAAGGCTCTTCTGAAGAAATGACATTTGAGTGGAACCCTGAGGGAAAAGTAGGCATCGCTTCCAGTAGCTTTAGGAAGACAGGTGCCCTGGGTGGTCTCAACAAGGAGATGTGGACCAGATCATTCTTGGTTTTTGCCTGGTCCTTAACTTCCTCCTATAACCATCACACTAAGCTGTTCAGACTTTATTGAAGAGTTTGGGTAACAGAAAAGAATATATGAGGGAAAACATTACCCCATACTAGTGATGTTACACCATCCAACAGGAAAAATAAACCCTTCACAGGGGACCGTTCATCGGCACGCTCCAGTTCCAAGCCTTGCTCCCCTGTCCTAAAACCTCCCCTTCCCTCTCTCACATGGACAAACATCTCTTCAAGCTCGGAGGGACAAAATCCCTGCCTCTGTTAGAAAATCCCTCTTCCCACTGACAGGGATTTTTTTCCCCCTTTCCCACCAGAGTAATCCACAGGACTCAATAACCCACAAGACGCAAAAGATATCATCAAGAAAGTGAGAAGTCACACCTGCAATTAATGTGACATCGTGACTGTGTGTCAACACTCTCTCTCTCTATATATATATATGTAATTTTTTTTTGAGAGAGAGAAAGAGAAAGAGCATGAGTGTGAGTACAGGCTGGAGGGGCAGAGAGAATCCCAAGCAGCCTCCATGCCCAGCACAAGTCTGATGCAGGGCCTGATCCCACGACCATGAGATCATGACCTGGCCTGAAATCAAGAATTGGAGGCTTAACCAACTGAGCCACCCAGGGACCCCTTGATTTTGTGTCAACTATATATATACTATATATATACTTTTTTAAAGTGAAAAGACAATTCAGAGAATGGGAGAAAATATTCACGAATCATGTATCTGATAAGGGATTCATAGCTAGAATAGAGAGCTCTTACCACTCAATCATAAAAAGATAAAGAACCCAATTTAAAAATGGGCAAAAGAGGGGCACCTGCGTGGTCTGCTTGTCCCTCTCCCTCTGCTCCTCCACCCGCATGCTCGCTCCCTCTCATACTCAAATAAATATATAAATAAATAAGATCTTAAAAAAAATTCATTTATATGAAACATCCAGAATGGGGAGATCCATGGTGACAGAAGGTGGATTAGTGGTTGCCTGGGGCTGGGAAGGGAGTTTGGGGAGAATGGGGAATGACTACTAGTGGGTATGGGGTTTCTTTTTTTGGAGTGATGAAAATGACCTAAAATTAATTGTGGTGATGGTTGCGCAACTTTGAATATACTAAAAAAAAAAAAAAAGCCACTGAAATTATGCATTCTAAGGGGTATATTGTACGGTCTGTGAATTATATCACATTAAAGCTGTTAAGCCCCCCAAAAAAGTACTCATGGAGTCTCCATCTCACCCCGGAGCTTGGCGGTGGGGCTGCAGAGGAAAGGTCACCAGAAGCAGTACCCCGGCTCTTACGCGCACCGGCCCTGTCACGGACACGTGCTGATTCCCAACTTCAAGGAGATCGGTATAATCTTCCTACAGGCTCTTACAGGCATGGGGAACCACACTAGCCACATAGGCCACAGAAGGGAAATGGGTCTCAGGTGTTCACTGCTCAGGTCCATCTGTCCACAGGAGGCCGTGTCCATAGGGGTTATAGAGCAACTTCACATTCATGGCAAAACTGAGCAGAAGGTAGAGAGACTTCCCATATCTCCCCTGTCCCCACACAGGCACAGCCTCCCCATTATCAGTGTCCCCCGCCAGAGTAGTACATTTGTTACAACTGATGAACCCACACTGACACATCATTACCACCCATTAAGGTTCATTCTTGGTGTGGTATGTTCCATGAGTCTAGACAAATGTATAATGACATGTATCCATCGTGTAGTATCATAGAGAGTAGTTTCTTGGCCCTAAAAGTCCTGTCTCCCAACTATTCATCACCCCCACCCCAAGCTCTTGGGAACCACAGTGAGATGCTTTAAAGCAGCAGCTTGGAAGTCCTCCTTGGCTCACCTCCTTGGCTCAGGTCCCAGGTCTACAAGGCATAAAAAGTGATGCGCATCACAGAACCATCAAATGGCCTGTGTGTAGCTATAGAAAGACTCACAGAAGTTATGAAATGACCACACTTGTGTCTTTTGGGTGGTGCATTTCTCCCTTTGCCTTCTGCAAAGCAAATCCCAAGATCAGAGTGAGGCGTTTGCCCATACATCTGCCTAGGAAAAGATCCAGAAGGACAGCTCAAGATTACTCTTTACAGGGCGCCTGGGTGGCTCAGTTGGTTAAGCGACTGCCTTCGGCTCAGGTCATGATCCTGGAGTCCTGGG